AGCTCAATAGGCTGATATCACTGATTTGTCATCTCTTCAGCGAAGCGCACGCATCGCTGGATCCTGAGTGAGAAGCCACGCTGTCGAGAAAAAGCCTTCTGCGGGACGAGCCATTCTTCGGAATTTGCTGGCCTGCACCTCGCTGCCTCCAGTCGCCGTTCTCGCTACACTATCCGGCGTATGTATATATGTATATATATATATATACATATATACATACGCAGCTCTTTTAGAAAAGTGAGTGGTGGGGCGAACACACAGAGAGCAGAGTGTAAAAGGATATATATATATATCCTTTTACACTCTGCTCTCTGTGTGTTCGCCCCACCACTCACTTTTCTAAAAGAGCTGCGTCTTTTTAATGATACCATCCTCATGCGGCTCGTGCCAAGCCCCACTCAGGGATGGGGACCGCCATGAAACGCCATCTGCGTTTCCTGCCTTAGAGAGGATCATGCAGCACTAGGGCTCGCTGATGGCGGCTGCCCTCACTGTGAGCTATTGCTAGATGCTGACTCTGAGGACTCGCCTGGCTTTCTTCTCCGAGTCTGCAAGTGCAGCGCCGTAAAAAAACATCATACTCAGCGGGTCCCTGAGCCTCCTCAAGCTCGCAACAGCTCGCCGGTTCACCTGCCCGCTTCACCAGCTTCTCTCGGCTCGCTCACTGGCGGTCAACGGCCGCCGATTTGGTCATCGATGATGACGAGCCCGCTGGATCTGCAGAGGAGGCCAGCTGTTCTCTTATGGCATCGGATATTGCAGCCCATTCTCACTCCCAAGGCGTAACCTAACTGACGCCTTGGGAAGCATTTGGACATGCTTCAATATCTGACGCTTTAGGCGCCCTTTAGCGTCAGTTAGATGACGCCCTAGGATCGCGTGTACCCTACCCCCACCCCACACCTAAACCTAACCGCGTCCTCTAACAGACGCTTTCCTTTAGCGTCAGTTAGATGACGCCGTAGGATCGCGTCATGTAAGTGACGCTAAAGGGCGCCTAAAACGTCAAATATTGAAGCATGGTCAAAGGTGACGCCTTGGGGTGAGAATGCGTTGGATATTGAGGACTGGGCGAGTTCCGTGGACCCAACCCCATGTCGTCCCTATGTTACGATCAGAGCCCAAAACCCATTCCACCCCTAGTCATTCACGCAGACGTGTGGGCACAGCTTCCCGGGATTTCGAATTGGGTGCTGAACATTATAAAAAGAGGCTATTCGCTACAGTTCGATTAATGCCCTCGCCACAGCATGGCGCGCGTCAAATCCACAGTAAAAACAGAGGTAGCACGAAATAGTGACCTTATTAAGCAAAGGGGCTCAATAGCTCAAGCTCAGAGTGAAGGGGGCCTGTACAGCATATATTTTCTGGTACTGAAAAAAAATGGGGGTCTCAGACCCTTTCTAGATCTAAGACAACTGAACAAAGCACTTATGAAATGCCAGTTCAGAATGCTTACAACCAAGAAAATCCTCACGCAGATTTGCCAAGGGGACTGGTTTATGTCAATAGATCTGAAGGACGCTTTTTTCCAGATACAAATAGCATCACATCACAGGCAATTTTTGAGATTCGCCTTCGAGGGCCAGGCATATCAATACACAGTCCTATCATTCGGCCTGTCTCTGGCACCCCATACATTTACGATGTGCATGGATGCGGCGCTCGCACCCCTGAAACTACAGGGCATGCGAGTTTTGAACTACTTGGACGATGGCTGATTCTTGGACGTTGGCTGATTCTAGCTCGATCTCAGTCAGAGCTCATAGAACACAGGACCGTGTTACTCGAACACCTCGAGAAACTGGGTCTCACAGTCAATTGGGCGAAAAGCTCGCTGTCCCCAGTCAGAAAAAAATTTTCCTAGGCACAGAACTGAACTCGTTGTCTATGACAGAGCAGCTGTCGCCAAAACGCAGAATAGACATTCAGCGTTTAATGTAATCCTTCCGAAATCCTATATGCGCCCGCTGCAGTTTTGGCTCAAAACGCGAGTACCACCTTGAGCTTGGGCTTCCGGTCTGCTTCACCTCAGGGTCAATCAGGAATGTGTCACAGCCCTGAAACCTTGGAGAGCGACCGACTGGTGCCAGTCTGGTGTAAACCTGGGGACTTCCTTGAGGCGACTTCCCTCAAGGTGTAAACCTGGGGACTTCCTTAAACCCTGGGGACTTCCTTCCATCCGTGTGTAGGTGGTGTCCATGGATGCCTCCACCTTGGTATAGGGAGCGCTTCACGAGGGCAGACCGTTCCTCGGCCAATGGTCAGAACGAGAAAAGCTCCTTCATGTATAAACTGTCTGGAAATGTTGGCAGTCGACAACGTGCTGAGGCGCCTTCTGTCCCAGAATAAGGGGCTACCACGTCTTAGTCCGCTCGGATAACATGTCGGTGGTATCCTACATAAATCGCCAGGGAGGCGACAAGTCTCGAAACCTTTTCAGATGGACGGAACCATTCTGGTCTGGGCTCTGCACAATCTGCACTCACTGAGAGCAGCACACGTGCCTGGCTCCCAGAATTTGGGGCCAGACAGACTGTCCAGAAACAATGCACCAGCAGAGAATTTCGGCAGAGCACATGCAGGTGGACCTATTCGCGTCCCAGGAGAACGCTCACTCACTGCCCAAAATTCTTCTCAAAGACCGATGATGCACTGGCTCACGTCTGGCCCAACTGCCCACTCTATGTTTTTCCAGCAGTCTCGCTCGTGTGTTAGGAGCGAGACTGTGTTAGAATGAATCAGGGAAACCAGATGCCCTGTGCTCCTTGTGGCTCCATTCTAGACGAACCAGGAATGGTTTCCAGTCCTAATGCGGCTGACGAGCACTGCCCTATGGCCGAGTCCGACGAGGAAAGACCTCCTCTCTCAGGCCAAGGGCTCAATTTGGCATCCTCGCCTGAAATGGTGGGCCCTGCATGCATGGGCCACAAACGGGTACCCACAAACCTCCCCGAGGAAGTGCTGAACACCATCACGCAGGCCAGAGCACCGTCTACTAGAAGTCTATGCCTCAAAGTGGTCAGTGTTTGTTAACTTAAGTGATGAACTGCTCGCGATCAGTAGCACGGATACAGTGTTCTCTTGTGACTCTTCACTTGGTTCACACTTCAATCCGTTGTGTATACTGCCAATTCCTTCCAGTGAAATCACATAAAAAAATGCACGCAAAACGTGTCCCTGCTTGATACACAACCACTGATCAACATAATCGGTTTTGATGATGTAATTTTATGTTGGGTAAAATTTTATGTAAGATTTTGAGTTTTACGTTTGTATATGTGAAACTTTTTGTGCAGCCATTTTGGCCAGGGCTCCCTGGAAGAAGAGATCTCAATGGGACAATCCTGGAATAAAGGATAAGTAAAATAAAAGAAAGTCATGTGAAAATTCTCGGCACTAACAACATATATTAGATCTCATTATATGACCAATTAATATTAATAAAAAATAAATAAAACCAATTAACCCAACTGACAAGGCTTAAACTAGTCCCAGACTAAAATGCATGTTTAATAAGCTGTTTTAACTGAAAAGCAATGTGTTTTATCTCACATCAGTAAAGTCCAAATTGAACTAAAGTCTAATCCTGGCTTAATCTAAACCCTGTCTGTGAAGCCAGGCCATAGAGAATGGGCAAGTTTGAGTCTCTACCCTGCTCTCGTTGGTGCAGTAAGAGTAGACCTGAGTGCATACTGCCTCTTAGTGGCCAGATTTAAAACTGAGCACTGATGTCTGGTTTTAAGGGATAGTTCAAAAATCAAAATTCGAGTTGTTTCAAACGTATGAATTTCTGTTTTCTGCTGAACACAAAAGAAGATATTTTGAAGGATGTCGGTGACCAAACAGATTGACTTCCAAAATATTTCCCCCCCACATGGAAGTCAATAGGTCCACCAACTGTTTGGTCACTGAAATTCTTCAAAATATCGTCTTTTCTTTTGTGTTCAGCAGAATAAAACATTTAAGCCTAGTCCCAGACTAAAATGCATGTTTGAGCGGTTCTAACTGAAAGCAGCTTTATTTTCATCTTACAATGTCAGTGCCATTGCTTTGCCAAGATTCACACAAGTAGACTAATGTTTTTTAAGGCATATTTATAAAAGCTACTTAAATGTCCTAATTGAACTACTTAAATGTCCTAATTGAAGAAGGTCTAATCCTGGCTCAATAAGTCCTGTCTTTGAAACTGGACCGAGTGTTTCATCCTCCTAAACCCTGTGATAGCCTATGGGTCATTCCTGTAATAGGTTCATCATGTATGGTATTTTTTCCATGTCCTTGAGTGCTGAACAAGCTTATAAAATAAAAACATTTGATAATCATCAGTAATCAGTTTTTCCTCTTGTCATCAGTTTTATTTTACTTGTCAATATGAAATATCAAAGCTAGTTAAGGATGGAAAACTAGCTTTGATATTTCATATCAAGTAATATATATATATATATATATATATATATATATATATATATATATATATATATATATATATATATATATGAAGAGTTCAGATGCAAAAGCCTCTAAATGCCATTTGAAATTTTCTTCTCTAATGATGATTTTTGTCAAACTTGTATATTTAAGTTCAGTAATTTCACTTAAATGGCAATGATAATTACCTATTAATTGTTATTTAAGTGAAATTACTGAACTTAAATATACAAGTTTGATAAAAATCATCATTAAAGAAGAAAATTTCAAATGGCATTTAGAGGCTTTTGCATCTGAACTCTTCATATATATATATATATATATGCTCTAATTATTAGTCTATATTATATGTATATAATTTGTTGGGGGTGTAAACACTTATATGTTACTTACTAATATTTGATCTCTATGATATGGCGGGAGCGGAGGCAGTCGCATGGGTTCATGGATCGCATAGGGCAGAAACATGTGTTACACTGTATACGTTCCTGCTCTATAGGTTCCCACTGCGCTGTATGCTTATTCTATAGAAATGACGTAAAGCGCGGAAGCTCTAGCGTGTAACACAGAGGGGAAACTAGTCTCGCGTTTCCCGGAAGCAGGACCGCAGAATCATGGCGACCGTCTCAGTGTGCCAGTATCATCCTGGAGGTTTCAGTTTCGAAAACTGCAAGAGGTGAGATTTATCCCTCTATATTAAGAGGAATTAAGCCAATGAAGTGGGGTATTTTTATGGATTCGGTGTAATAACAAAGAGTTTGAGTGGGTTTTAAAGGCATTTTGCAGATCGGTTGAGACACGGCCTGCGTGAATGACTCAGGAGAATTTAACGCTAACGTTACTTAAACTCATTTGAATAACGGGGTTATTTAATGAAATATACATTAACATAGATTACACAATATGTATAACATTTAAAATGATTTTTTTTAATGTTACAGTGGGATTTTTTTATTGTTGATATTTTGTTATTGGTGGTATTCATTCGTTTATTATATGCGCTTATAGTAAATGTAGTAACGTCAAGTACATTTTAAATTGAATTACCTTGAAATGTGTTCGTTTTGGAAAACAAAAGTCACTTTAATTCGTTTAATCATATTGCCATCTGTTTCTGATTACAAAAACATTAAGCTACACAGCATGACTGAGAATTTTGGTAACATTATAACGTCAGACGAAGCCTGTGTAACATTAATGACGATGTCATTTTTACGTTCTGTTAACCCGCTAATAAATCTTGTTGCGTTGATTTAATTTAGTTATTTATTTATAAATATGAATATTTGTCTATTAACCACAAATGAGTGGTGATATAAAAGTGCATAAAATGTCCACTAGTCGTCAGTAGAACTAAGGTTTGAGGATAAATCTGTTATTGACATGCTGTTAGAACGAATCAAAACCATAATACAACTCTGTGCTGATTGGTCAAACCAGTGGATTTCTACATTTATTATGTTAATGTAGCATCATATGTAAGCTCATAGGAGCAGAGTTTATTTATAAATCGCTGAAGAAAACTAAAATGTTTTGGGAAAAAAACGTGATGTGTTTGTTGTCCTAGAAATGCCCTTTTGGACGCAGACATCACTAAGCTGGGGTTCAGCTCTCCTGCTGCTCGTAAAACCGGAACCACCATTTGTGGCGTCGTTTACAAGGTAAGCTAAAGAGCGTCGATGAGTTTAATTGTATAAAATAAAGGGTTTGACTTCATATCCTCGTATCTGTCAAAAACGATGACATACAAGAAAGATTGCCACACAAAAATCTTCCCTCTCTCTTCAGGATGGTGTTGTTTTAGGTGCGGACACTCGTGCCACTGAAGGAATGATTGTGGCTGATAAGAACTGCTCTAAAATTCACTACATTTCTCCCAACATCTAGTGAGTACAAACACATCATTACAGACAACTCACATCTTTGATACCACCTGGTATCAAATGACATTGTTCTGAAGTCCTCTCTCTCTCTTCTGTTGTGTAGTTGTTGTGGAGCCGGTACCGCAGCAGACACTGAGATGACCACACAGATCATCTCCTCTAATCTGGAGCTCCATGCTCTGTCCACCGGCCGTGTCCCGCGTGTCGCCACCGCAAACCGCATGCTCAAACAGATGCTCTTCAGGTAATGAATCATCACAGCGCTATATGATGTGCTACCACCAAAAAAATTACAATAATAAATTATGTTTTTTTCATGTTTTTAAAGAAGTGTCATGCTCAGATTAAAGCTGCATTTATTCAATCAAAATACAGAAAAAACAGTAATATTGTGAAATATTACAATTTAAAAGAAATGTTTTCTATTTGGATATTTTAAAATGTAATTTATTACTGTGATGCAAAGCTGAATTTTTAGCATCATTTCTTCAGTCTACATGATCCTTCAGAAATCAATGTAATATGCTGATTTTATGCTCTAGAATATTGAAAACAGTTGTGTTGCTTAACATTTTTGTGGAAACCATGATACATTACAATTTAAATTGTATGGAGGTTAACAAAATTAATACTTTTATTCATTAAGGATACATATAATTGTTAAAAAAACAACAAAAAAAACGTATCTATTCTAAATGTTTGACCGCTAGTGTTGCTGACCAGTCTCCATGTGTTTACGTGTGCAGGTATCAGGGTTATATTGGTGCTGCGTTGGTTCTCGGAGGGGTTGACTGCAACGGTCCACACTTGTACAGCATCTATCCTCATGGATCAACAGACAAACTACCCTATGTCACAATGGGTAAGTTACACTAACACCTCGTAACCCGTCTATAACCTAACCCGTATTGTTCCCAATATAAGACTACCCCCCCCCCCCCCCTTTCAAGATGTACCCTTTGCACACCAAATCTTGTCTTTTAAAGAAAATACTTTATTTAAAAATAATCTTCATATTGCATATTTTATATGATTGCATATCATAGCTACCATTAAAATAACCTGAAGATCTTATTTAGTAGATTATGATGACCTTTTTTATGTACAGTGACAGATGCTGGGTCGTTAAAAAGATGTTTGATCTGCATTACCTATTTGATACAGGGGAATATGAATGTTTTTTTCCTTAGGCCGATCAAATAGTGTTAAAAAGACAGCAGTTTCTCCCTGAAGCAGGAGTGCAAGAGCTAATGCATTATGCCGCATCAAAGCATCCGCTACGAGGATATTGACAGTCAAGTACTTAGCCGAAATAAGAAATAATGGGCTTCGCTGGCGGGGATGTTCAGCTCTTTGGCGATTTCCAGTGCCTTCAGATTGGTCATGGACAGCCCCTCGTTTCTTTTTCGGCTACATTTGCCTGTTTGACACACATTTGGCACACTTGCCTGTTCGTTTCTTCGAAGCGGCCACGTTTAGGACAGCAGCAGGCTTTTCTTTTATTGTTAGCATTTTTAAGGCTGTCTTTTTGGACTCGCTATCTTTTAACATTACACTCTGATATAGTATTTCTTGTCTGCTTAATGAGAATTGTTTCACATGTATTGATGTTTGTTGACTCGTATTTAATCCTATTTGGCACTCCCTATTGTTGCTGGTGTATTATTGACGTAAAAGTTTGTAGACCCTGAATATAAGAAGACCCCATTTTTTTCATGTGTATTTCAAAGAAAAAAAACTGTCTTATATTCTGAACAATACAGTACTTGCATGAATTCTCATCCCCTTCCACCAAAAGGGGGAGATATTGTGTCTCTGAAAAGCAAGTTGTGACTTCTATGAAAACATGACATGCAGCCTTTAGTGAATATCTGTTAATGCAGAAGATGCTTCTATTGATTCACTTTCTCACTTGTAACATCAGCATGTTTTTGTCTCATCAGGTTCTGGATCTCTGGCAGCAATGGCAGTCTTTGAGGATCGCTACAGGCCCAACATGGAGGTAACCCTCTCTCATGTGCACCCTCTCTCTTTCTCACTCTTTTGTATTAATGATTTAAAAATAATTAAATTATACTTTTATCTTGAAAAGGCACTTTAAATTTATCCAAAGTGACAGTAAAGGCATTTATAATGTTACAAAATAGATGCTCTTTTGAACTTAATTAATTAAAGAATCCTGATTTATTTATTATTATTTTTTTAATCATGGTTTCCTCGGAAATATTTAGCAATAAATATTATGATTGGAGTAATGCTTCTGACAATTCAGCTTTGCATAACAGGAATTTTAGCATGCCAGGTTTCTTTTTAATGCATCCAACCCCAAAAATCTTACCCACCTCAAACTTTTTGGACAATAGTGTGTATATTCAGGGTTCCTAAAGTCATTAATAAACTTCCAATTTCATAAGATTACGGAAAAGTCATGGTAATTTATCTTAATAAATCTTAAAAAGGCACAATCTTTTTGGGTTTGAAATATTATTTGTAAATAGTTTTTTGTGAATGCAATATGATCATCTAGTAGTCATGAACAATTGGAAGCACATGTAAATTGGTAAAAATGTGAGAACACTGTATCATGTTAATGATTGTGGTTGTGTGGATCAGGAGGATGAGGCCAAGCTTCTGGTGCGGGATGCAATAGCGGCTGGTATCTTTAATGACCTGGGCTCAGGAAGCAACATTGACCTGTGTGTGATCACCAAGGGGCAGGTGGACTACCTGAGACCTCATGACGTGGCCAACAAAAAGGGTGTCAGGTGAGCAGCCAACATCACACATCGAAACCTATTGCAGTCACACGTGTTGCACGGCAGCATGCAAATTGCTAGCATTGAGGCAGTGGTGAAATCTGTGTAGTTAATTAATGTGGCATCTCAATGTGTGCTTTCAAAAAAAAAAAAAAAAAAACCTGACATAAAGGTTGTGGCGTGGCGTCTGTGGTTGCTATGCAACCATGAACTGCGCTCTCATGACGAGGACGGATCAGCAAATCATTAATTGATTTCTAGCCTTGGCTTTAGCTTTACTATGCTACTACTAGATATATTAATGGAGATGAGAAATAAAATCCACATGAATTGAGCAGTTTAACCTTTGTCTTCTGAAGAGACTTGATCACTTTATATGATGGACGGATTTAATTTAGGATTTTATTCACATTTAAACATTGATCAGTGAACATAAACAGCAGCTCAACTGTTCTTGTGTGACGAGTAATTATGTTCCGAAGACGAACAAGTATAATGAGTTTGGAACAACATTTTTGGGTAAATGATCCCTTAAAACAGTCTGTTGATGAAAGCCACCACTTGTGTACATGATGCTAATTAGAGGATTTACTAAATAAATGGCTCATGCTTCACTGTTCCATTTTAAGGGAGGATAAGCTTGATGGAAGCCCTGTGTGAGTAACCGTGTGTTGAAACGAATAGCCCACATCTAGATGTAATTGTGACCTGCATGTTTTTGACTAACCAAGTGTGAGTTTGAAGTAAAGTTGTTTAAACCGACAAGCTGTTTGCTGATTTTTTCTCTAACAATCTTCTGCTAACATCATTATACTTTTTAAAATGTATTTAACCAGTCTCCGTTTGGATCAGTTTTGTCATGTGAAAAAAGTGCAGTGTTTCAGTCCTGATTAGAGATGTGTGTTTAGGCTTAGTTTCTATGCAGGAGCAGCATTTTTATTTGTTGTAATTCTTCTGTTTTTTTGTGTTCTCCTCACAGAACCGGAAGCTACAAGTACAAGCATGGAACCACCGCGGTTCTGACGAAGGCTGTGACTCCTCTGAACCTAGAGGTGGTAGAGGAAAGTGTGCACACCATGGACACCTCCTGAGGAGACACAATCCACCACATTTTGATCTGTTTGTTTTCCCTAACTGTTATGTGGTGATTTAGTCATTTTTCATTATTTCCAATAAAAGAAGTTGTGAGTTGAAGTTTGTCTTCTTTTTATTTTTATTTTATTAAAGTGCCTCTTGCTGTACCATTGTTTTATTAAAAAAGCATGCCAATTTATTGAGGTATCATTTATTTGCGATAACTCCTTATTTTGCATGTTCGCATAGTACGGCGGTCTAATTAAATAATGAGTCAAATGTTCAAGGGATAGTTCACTTTGAAATTAATTTTTGATATGTTTTAGCTTACCTCAAGGGCATCCAAGATGTAGGTGTCTTTGTTTCCACAGTATTTTCAATTTTGACATTTTTCGGTCAAACCGGTGTTGTCTGTCAGTCATATAATAACCATAGGGTGTAAACAATGCGTGACGTAGAGGCGCGAGAGATCACTTCCGGCGTAACTTCGGAGACGGTTCAGTTGGACATCTGATCCAGTTCAGTTCGACGGCTGTTAACAAGAGGTAAAAACTATAAATACTGTTTGTTTTCTCACACAAACTCCTCGTTTCGTGTCTTAGGCCATCAGTGTGTACTTACATTCACGAGTCATTAAATCTTTAAATTTTGACTTCTCTGTGCATGTTCTGTGGACCGAAAACCTGCATATGACTGACAGACAACACCGGTTTGACCGAAACATGTCAAAATTGAAAATGCTGTGGAAACAAAGACACCTGGATGCCCTTGAGGTAAGCTAAAACATATCAAAAATTCATTTCAAAGTGAACTATCCCTTTCAGTTAAAAAAATGTAAATACTTTTGAAAGTCGTCTCTTCTGCTCACAAAGGCTGCATTTATTTGATTTATTAAAAACAGTAATTGTGAAATATTACACTATAAATTAGCTGTTTTCCATTTGAATATATTTTATTCCTGTGATCAAAGCTAATTTTTCTTCTTCAGTTTCAGTGTCACATGATCCTTCAGAAATCATTTTGATATATTGATTTGTTGCTCAAGAAACATTTATTATTATTATCAATATTGAAGATATTTTTGTGAAACCGCAACACTTTTTTTCATCATCGTTCGATGAACAAAAAGTTCAGCTTTTTTTTCCAGACATTTTTTTGTGACATAAATGTCTACTGTCACTTTTGATCAATTTAATGTGACTTTAATAAATAAAAGTATTGATAAAAGTTAAAAGTACTGACCCTGAACACTGTAAATACTGCATGCTCCAGAAATAGTGAATATAGTCTTCAAGTTGGTAAGATTCGCTCAAAACAAAGCTTAATGAGTCAGGGGTTGTTGAAATGCAAATAAGTGCTTGTATTTCCTGAATTAAAGGTTGATTTGTATGATTTATTAAAACATGGTGTCATTTTAATTAGCTAGAGGTGAACCGGTGTTTCCTTTTGTGTTATGTTTAATTTGATAAATGATACCAGTTAACAATACATTTGCTTATCACCAGGGGGCCCAAACTAATATGAGTTGTCAGTTCCTGATTTAGGGTTTAAATAAGTCTTTAAACACTTTAAATGTTCTTGAAAACAATGCTGTCACAAAGTCAAAAGTAACATTTTATTGTTTATTACACATTTTAACATGAGAAAATGTTTCAAAATTCCTTAAAAATAACCTCTTTGGAACAATGAATATAATTGACACTTTCACATGGTAGATATTTGACCAGAGAACAAGATCTCACAAATGAGTGTTTCCTTGGGAAAACACTTAACAATTGTGTGCGTATGTATGCGAAACGTATCAGAAACATAAAGAGCGATAAGTAACTCAACTGTAAGGCTCTTTATATGTTGTTATGTAATAGGCCTACAGAAAAATGTATATAAATAGAACCACCCTGCTTTGACATCATCAACATGAGGCACTGGGTCACCTGACCTAACCAACTTTCTTCAAACCAATCAGCATACAGCACTGAAACATCATTTGAAGGCACAACAGAATATATATTGGCATTCCTTTCAATACAAATCTAGAGAAACGCTCAGCTTGAAACTATCACTGATGGCATTCTCTCTTTACTCATTTCTAGATATTGCAATCGCTTGATCAGTTGGATTGAGAGAGCAGAGATCACAGGTTTGCACAATGGTTCTCCTGGCTGCAGGTGTGTGTGTTTGTATCAGGTGCTGGTCGTCCACCTTTCCATCTGGGTGGCGAACTGCAGGACGAAGCTGATGTCGGGCCGCTGGCCTGGATCTGGGTTGATGCACATGCTGACCAGATCTCTGAGCTGAAACACATAAAGGTGTGTAGTTTACAGGCTGAAACTGCATACATTATTATACACTCATTACAGGATCATTAGGAACATCTGTTCAATTTCTCATTAATGCAATTTTCTAATCAACCAATCACATAGTAGTTGCTTCAATGCATTTAGGGGTGTGGTCCTGGTCAGGACAATCTCCTGAACTCGGAAAGAAAGGTGATTTAAGCTATTTTGAGCGTGGCATGGTTGTTGGTGTCAGACGGGCCGGTCTGAGTATTTCACAATCTGTTCAGTTACTGGGATTTTGTATAGAACACAATTAGTATCTAGTGAAGAGAGTATGTGATTTTAGATGCAGCCAGTGACATTGTGTCTTCATGTTATGATTGTTGAGATGGGCTGTTACATTTTCTAATGAGCTGACTACCTAGACAGCATCATCAGGCATTATAAGATTTATGTTCAAAAGAATCCTAAACAAATGTATCAGGATTTTGACATAAATATTAAGCAGAAAAAACTGTTTCTTAAGCAACAAATCAGAAAATTAGAATGATTTCTGAAGGATCACTTATTATATCTGAAGGAACCCTATTACAACTATTTCATTCATGATGTGATGACAAAAATAAATAGCTCCAATTAAAATTTCACCCAATATTTGGGCATCATGCGAGTTTGAACTTGAGCGCTGTGTTTTTTAGAATGCTGTTATGCGCAAAACGCTGCAGAAAAATGCGAGCGCGACGGTTAAAGATATCAATCTGTTTACATTGAAAAACAATGGAAAAGAAAGTGCAGTGAAATGGAAAACCGCATTCTGAATGTGTGTGTGTGTGTGTGTGTCATACCTTCTGGGAGTAGTGCTCTGATGGAAGAGGTGGGTAATCACACTGTTCGATCTTTTGACACAATGAGAGCAGGTTCATCTTGTCACTGTAGAAGGGGCTATGCAAAGCTGCCATCTGACAGAGACAGAAATATCATTCATGACATCCTTTAAAGAAAAAAATCATTACAACCCTTAGTGTCTTTGGTCGTATTGTTAGAAACTTGCCATGCTTTCTATTTGACTATCACTATCACACTAGTTTCATGTTAACCACTGTGGTTACACTTTGAAAAAAAAGTGTGCATTTCAACATTTTATCTGGTGCAATGTCTTGCCCTATAGATAGACTATGATTGCAAGTACATTAGTGTAAAACATCATATTTTTATTCAAATTAAGGGACAAATGAACGCATTTTTTTTTTTTTTTTTTTGGTAATCATTAGTATGCAACAGCTTGTACTGTATTTTATTGGGAAACTATGAACTAACTTAACAGCACAATGCAAACAATCCACCAAAAATACAAGACATCCATATTTAGAAATATTTTAGCAATTCATTTATTAAGGAATTTCTGTTTTAGATATCAGTTCAAATATCAGCTGATGTTCTCCTATGACATGCCCATTGGCATCACTTCACAACATCACAAAACATAGTTTTTTTTTAAGTAATTATATAGAAATTTGCAATATTAAAAAATATTAAACTCTTAAATTAATATTAAACTCTTTTCAACATGATAATAATACGAAATGTTTCTTGAGCATCAAATCAGCATATTAAAATTGTTTCAGAAGGACACTGAAGATTGGAGTAATGATGCCGAAAATTCAGCTTTGCATCACAGGAATAAAGTGCATTTTACAATATTAAAATAGAAAACAGGTCTTTTAAATTGTAACAATATTTCACAATATCACATCAGCCTGGGTGAGTATAAATGATGTGTGTATATAGTATATAATACAGATGTGTCAGATGTGTACCTCATAGAGCAAGCAGCCCAAGGACCAGATGTCTGATTTGAAATTGTATCCGTTTTCATGAATCCTCTCGGGAGACATGTAATATGGAGTTCCAACTGGGAACGACACAGATACACAATAAGCACATTTGTGTATTTGGAGTATATTGTATTGTCTAGACTGGCTCTGTAATTTCATTCAGTGTGAATGTGGATTGTCAGTGGTACCAAGAGAATGTGCAGCAGTGGTTTTGGAGCTAAAGTATCGGCCTAGTCCAAGGTCACCGAGTTTGACCTCTCCAGTAGCTGTGATAAAGACGTTGGCTGGTTTTATATCTGAAACACAAACATTGTTGACAGGAGTACAAAATAAATAGGGGCACACGAATGAATGAAACCAAGAGTGTGTGTGTGTGTGTGTGTGTGTGTGTGTGTGTGTGTGTGTGTGTGTGTGTGTGTGTTTACCTCGATGCATGACTCTGCGGGAGTGCATGTGTTCCAGTGCGCTGCAGAGCTGCACGAAATACTTCCATATCGTTCGCTCGGGAATCAACCTCCGCTTCTTCATAAAATACTACACACATGCCAGGGTTATTATCGTTAGATAAAGCTTTCAGATTTTCATGAACTAAAATCTAATTAAGCATATACTTAAAAAAAAATGGCTAAATTTAAGTTGAAGTACTAAAATAAGTAAAAATAGATAATAGGGATACACTGAAATTTCGGCCGCTGGAAATGATTGGCTTTTCCGTTTTAAAGAATAATATATTGATATTTAATTTTCATATATTTTCTGTCCAATTTTAGTGTTACTTTCAATGAAAGTGCGGTTATTTTATTTTATTGGATTTTTGAAATTTAGCATTATTAAAATGATTGAAAATGATCCTTTCATTAAAAAGACGAATAACAATTCAATCATATGAAGAAACCTAATGTAAAATAAGTAATGTAAATTTTCATTTCAGTGCATCCCTATTAAGTAAAATAAAATTGAATAAAAACATTATAGTCCAACAAACTAATACAAATGTCAAAAACAC